ACAATGCTGTGATTAACACCAGCCACTCTTCGTCTCCGCGTTTTGGAGTCATGAAGAGAACCCCTGTTACAACTAGCCGAGCCGGTTCATTTCCAAGTCCTAGAACGCCTAATTATCGCCATTCCAGTGTTGGGGTTCAGAAAGGCTGGAGTTCAGAGCGTGTGCCATTGCATTCGGCAGCTAATCGGAAGCAGCTTAATACTGCATTGCTGCCTTACAATAATGGAAGGACATTACCTTCCAAATGGGAAGATGCAGAGAGGTGGATTTTTAGCCCGGTCTCAGGAGATAGTTCTGTGAGAACTTCATCGCAGCAGTCTCAGAGGCGGCCTAAATCCAAAAGCGGGCCTCTTGGACCTCCTGGTCTAACTTACTATTCAATGTATTCTCCAGCACCACCAGTTTTTAAGGGAGGAAATGGTGGGAATCTGTTAGCCAATTCCCCTTTTTCAACTGGAGTGATGGCAACTGATGGTTTGTCAATTCGATGTGGAGGCAGCTTGGGCAGTGGAAACTTCCATGCACTCACAGAGCCATGCATGGCAAGGTCAGTTAGCATACACGGATGCTCTGAGCTAGTCAGTTTATCGACCTTGCCAATTTCCCAAGGTACTGATTTAGCCTTTCCAGTTAATTGGTTGCTTGCTTAATCTAATCAAGAAGTTTCCCATTGATTTGCATTGCAGAATCATGTGTCTCTTTAAATCAAGTGAAATGTAGCATAATGTTAGACGTTAATACCTGGCAGAGAAAGAGGAAATTTTGCAAGAAGAATACAAATAGAACTCACTGATTAATTGGTTGTAATACTTGATTTCTTCTATGGAAGATGGAAATCCATATTTCCATTACTATTTCCATGTTTTCAAGAGTCAAAGTTGAAAGGAACCCATCCTTTTTGGCTGGAGATAGGCTGAAAGTGTACCTTTTTATGTCAATGGGATGCACTGGCAGAAAAAGTAACCAGAAGGAAAGAAACAAAAGTTGATTTTCTGTTATTTGTTAAATTTATTACTAATCTGATAAATCTTCAAGCTCAACTTAACTTTCTTGATGTAAATCTGTACCAGGAAGCACCTACTCTGATATGTGGTAAAGACTTGTAACACAATCACTCTGGCCATAGGCTTTTGCCTATGAATCCCATAGGAGACAACACAACTATGAACTGTAAAAGATATTGCATAACCAATGGCCATGGATGGTGATTGTTGTTTTGAATGATCTTTTAGTTTTGGACGTGCAATTACTCTATTTGTTACTGGTGTTTATTTTTGCCTATTTTCAGTATGGAGTTTTCCCCTTACATGGGATATATAGACACATTTTTAAGTCCATCTTATCTGCCCTTTTAATCCTCATGACTATGGGTTGTGTAATATGTGAAGAAATGAGGGCTGTGCCTTCCTATTGCATTTAACTGTCTCTAAATCTAATCTATAGATGAGAGTGGAGATGATATTCAAGATGCAGCAAATGGTGTGTCACGAGTTATCTCAAGGAGGGATATGGCCACTCAAATGAGTCCCGAGGCAAGCCCTTCCTCATCTCCAATAAGACAGTCATCCTTCTCCCCTTCAACTCCATCTATTCTACCACTTGTAGAATTCCAGAGTATCCCTTCTTCTAAAGCAGAAATGAGAGATGTTCCCATTGATGAGCGGGTTACAGTGACCAGGTGGTCAAAGAAACAGAAAGCTCGAGTTCTGGGTAGGAGCATTGAAAGTGATGACTGGAAAAGGAAGGCTGTAGAAATCCGGTCTTCAGCTTGGGATGTTTCAGACACATCGAAAAGTATTTCAACGTAAGTGAAGCTATTTTATTTGTTAGCTTGTAAGTAAATTACTTTGAATCCCTGTCAGGGGAAAGTTGTTAGATGGAAGTCTGAGGTGATTGGATGTATTACAAATAGAGTGTACTGTATAGAAAGGGAAAAGCTGATAAATCCTTCGTAAAAGATGCAAACACAAGGGAAGGGAAGGCTATAAAGTTCCTTCTAAAATTTAAGGTTGTATTGTACCAGATCTATTCATCTGGAATCTGATAAAAATGGAATGATATACAGAAGATTATCATGGCCCCTACGCAAGGATGAAGCACAAATTGACAAATGTGAAATGTCTAAACTCCAAGGACTTCCCATGAATTTTATGAATCTTTAAAAGCACATCTGGAAGAAAGATTTATCTGAAAACATCCAGCTGACAATTAGATGCCTTCCTTGTGTTTTGTTCAATAGCATTGTATTTCAAAAGTATTGGTTTACTTTGTACATTGCCTTAGCCATATATCTAATCTCAAGTTGATTTTGCTCCAAAAAAAAAAAATATCAATAAGCTGTACTGTTTGAGAAAGGACAGACCACATTCATGCTCCTTAACATTTCTTTCTCCAAGCATCAAAGTGCATTTGTTTTTCAATTCATGCTATTAATTTTCTCTATCCTCTTCTGAAATATCAGGATTAACAGGGAAGAAGCAAGAATCACTGCATGGGAGAACTTGCAAAAGGCAAAAGCAGAGGCAGCAATGAGGAAATTAGAGGTCGGTCTTTCATACATACCTCCTTCATGAACTTTTTAGTTTCTATAGTTTCTTTCTGTTGCCCATAAACTCATTTGAATCATCAATTATATGGATTCAATTGGGTGTATTGTGCATGAATGCAAACATATCTACTTTTTGTTTTTGTTAGTCCAGAACCTAGAGGTAGCAAAACTTGAATATGGACAGAATGGGTATACTATAAAGTGTGATAAATAAGCAACACTCATATGTCTACATAAGGTGTATGTAATAGCATGCTATTTTATCAACTAATGAAAAGCGACTTTATCAACTATGACTTCTATTCTACCTATTTCACGGTCTAGGTTAGTAGTTTCCTGTATTGGAAAAGACAGCTAATGTTGAAGTGGTAACCATTCAGCAACTTCCACCAGTACTTTGTGAGATTTCGGTTTATCTCGAATGTCAAATATCCTTTGTCGAGATGTCTGGACTCTGGCCTAGAGAACAAGGCTTGTATAGTTAAGAAAGGTTTTTGTTGTTGATACAGGGGAATAGGATGTAGGGTCTTTCAAGTGTTACATAAGTTTATTGTTCGACGTTCTTCCTTCACTAAACTTTTGTTATTCTAGATTAAACTACAACTTGAAAGATCAGCAGTGGATTCCCAAATTGATACTATAATTTTGTTAGGTATCTTTCATTTGCTAATACAATGGTTGACCTCAGTGATATTTATAAGATTCTGAAGGGGATGAGAAAAGAGATATCTCATTAATTTTGTATATTATATTGGCCTAATCGTATAGAAAAGAAATATGACATGTTTCTAGGCATTATCTTCTGCTAGCGTGCATGCATGATTTCTTTAGGTCAGGTCCTGGATCTTTCCAAAAAAGGAACCTCCTAACTGCTGGGTGATTTCTTCTCTCCCCTGTCTACATCATAAGCTTAAATTGTCTATGAAGGAAAATAGGTGGAATGAATAGTTCCCTTATCTTGTACTTCTTTGGAATTTTGAATTGGATTGTTACATTATCATCAAGATATGTGTTCTCCAATTATTGAATGCTACTATCTGTTTGTTGTTTTCTTAATCCATGTCATAAGGGGAAAAGATTTAATTGTTCATATTTCACAATTCTATAGAGGACAGAAGAATGAATAGAACTTGCATTTGCACCAATAGTGTTTCCTGTTTGCAGTTGAAGACACATGCTAACTTTACAAGTATAATGCAGATGAAACTTGAGAAAAAGAGATCGTCATCCATGGATAAAATTTTGAACAAATTTAGATCGGCACAGAGAAAAGCCCAAGAAATGAGAAGCTCAATGTTAGCCAACCAATCACATGAAGTAGCAAGATCCTCCAGCAAGGCCTTATCTTTCCGTAGGACTCGCCAAATAGGATCTCTGAGTGGCTGTTTTACATGCCATGCGTTTTGATGTTACAACAAGCCTCTATATCAGGTATTCTCTTACCTTTACACCGAGGAGTATAATATTTCAGATTTCCTTGCACAGATTAAATCTGGTATTAAAAGATTAGATCCTTCTTTCCTGATGTACTTTTCGGCATTTTGGTAGTGAATGGGTCAGATCATGTATAATCTTGTAATAAGCGGCAGTGATCTGGAAATGGAATTTGTAAAGACGTGGCTTGTGGAAACCAATGCTGTAGGGTGGTTGAATCTTTTAGTTCCCTTTGACAATGATATCTGCCTACCGAATGATTTAAACAGTCAAGAGGCATGAACAGAATGAAGGTTTACATTGTCCATGGAATAGTCGTAGTGTACATTAATGCAACTCGAAGTTTTCTTTCTACTTCGAGCTCCTCCATCTTCAACGAAATTCTCGTTGCTCTGTAAGATTCTAAAAACATTTTCTTTGATTCGATCTGTATGTAATGAATTTACCAATAATCCATGATTTTATTTTAAAATTTTTTGCTTTGTGCATTTGGCACCCGAATGACAATTAGTTACTTTATAATGCAAATAACAAGCTTAAGAGTTGGAAAAGTAAAGTCCTTAATCTAGATGGTAGAACCACTCTTGCAAATCTAGCCTTACTTCAATTCCTAACCACGTTATGCAAAGTAATGTTATTCCTACTTATATCACCAAAGAACTTGATGGAACTCAAAGAAACTCTACATGGGTTTCTGTCGAGGAGGACTGGAATAATGTTACTATTTCAAAAGCTTGTGTGGCCATTTGCAACATGAAACAGAAATCGAACTGCTTACATGGTCTTAAGTGGGCAGTGGGAAGGTTAAGCATATTAACTTTCAATTAACTAAAATATGTGTTTTGGTGCTTTATATAGAAAATATATTATATTTAAACTATTTATTGTCATGGCCCTAATTTTTCTCGGTAGAATGTTGTAATGGCACCTAGTCTCTACGACTAGATAAGCCTAACATTTGATAACAACTGAATAGAAATAATTAACAAAATACTAAAACAAGGCTGAATAACTGATATAAGTAGAGGTAGATATTAACTTATGGCATGATAATTGAATCAAAAATCTGAAACCTCTAAGGAGCAGCATCTACGGACTTGATACATGAGTTAAGTTATATGTCAGATTGACTTGATTTTACTACTAGGCCTCAGACCTCAGTCCCAAACAAGTTGGGTATGAATGCTTACTGACCATGTTACATTATATAAATTCATCTCAAGCCAATGTTATATAAGATATAAATAGCAATAATAATAAAATAAAAAATATTCAAGTTGTTTGACTTGATTAACAACGGCTTGGAATATTTTTTTTCCTACTTTAAAATGACTCTGAATCTTGAAAATCAATCGTATTTAGCACCTTCTTGATGAGCTGATTGTGGATTATGAAGAACTGATCCCAATCGGGTTAGATTAACATAATCTATAGTAGTATGAGCTGATAATCCTGGAATCACCAAACCTACCATCCTAAACATTGTCTGGAACCAGTCCTCTCTGTATTCCCTGCCTTTTCTCCAAGGGAGTATGAACCCCCTAATAACCTCATATGCTGCAATTAGCACCATTGGAAAAAACCATAGCAGTGAGAAGTAGTTCTTGTTTGGTTCTTCCTCCACCACCTGCATTACAACAAAAATATTGAGCTGTTGCCATGCATACACAAGGTAAATAATTAGTCAGACTTTTGAAAATCATGCAAAGACATTGTCTTTTAGGGCAATGAAGTGTGAACCAAACAACGGGTGTGACGTAGTGGTCAATGAAGTGGAATGAAAGTCAATGGAGACCAATGCTCAAATTTCAATAAAGACTAGATAAATTAGGCAATTTCTTTCCATCCGACTAAGTCTTGGGGAGCAGTATTAGTTGGTACTTTTGCTGGTGGGAGGTAGCAAGTACTGGGTGGAACAATTGAGGTGCGTGCAAACTTACCCAGACACCCGTTGTAAAAAAAAAAAGTGTGACCCAAATGTATGAGAAACTTTACCTTGCCCTGGTAGAGGCTGTTGTAATACACACATGATCCAAAATGCTTGAAGAATAGGGCTGTGTCATCAAATGGCAACCTAGGAACCATATCATTGGAATAAACATGCCTATAATACTTGACATTGTACTTATTGAACTTGTCCTTCATAAAGTTCCCAAATTGTACATCTCCAATCCTAGGTTGTCCGAATGTGTACACTCCTTCCAATTTATCCAATAACCATTCCTCTTCATGTAAACTCAATATGGCTGCAAATAAAATTGCTAATGCGCCTCCTAAACTATGTCCTGTCAATATAAACTTTGCCTTCTCATTTTTACTCAGTATCCTTTTCAGTTCTTTTCTGATTTCATAATATGCAAATAGTTTTTGGTCTGGGCTTTCATCTATTTCCTTGGGCCAGCCTGTGTTCTTTTGTAAGCCCAATGCTTTCATGAACCCAGCATGTAGTTTACCCACACCTTCAAGCTCGTACCAAGAAAGGTCCACATCCGTGATCCAGTCATCTGCATCATATGGGATTGTCCCTCTAAATGCGACCACAACTAGATTTGAATCTTCAATTTTGTCTTGGAACATAATGGCTTGTGTGGAGTAATTTTCTTGGTAAGCTGTAAATAGAAAGGAAATGGAATGATTTCGTCAAGTAACCAAACAATAATGCGAATTAGTCGGGGTGCAAATGCAAATAATACGCATAAAACCAGAAGGTTTTGAAAATAACCATCTCACTCGTGAGTCGTGAGAATATTTGAAGGTTAACTTTTGACATCTATTATAGTAAAAGGACTAAAAATAATAGATGGAAAAATAATATTGTATAATACCCGAAAAACGTATATTTTTTTGGTATATATACATTTTTGTATGTTATATACAATAAATATACAAATTTTATAAACTTTTGCAGCTACCCGATGTAAATAATTTCGATTGCGCCCTAAAAGTGATCTTTGCCAATGGATAACATGTGGCCAATCAAATACTAGTGCTTCCGAAAAGAGTCAAAATTTAATTTGCTTCATATTTATGAGAGAACATATAAAAAAGATTGTAGTTCAGAAGGCAAGATCTGCTGGCTCCTTGTAAATCTTCATAATATCTTTAGTAAGTTTTTTTCAATAGAAAATTTGATACTAGTATTTTGTCACGGACTAGAGAACAAAATATAACATTCAAATTGGAACACAATAAGAATAAAAAGATCTTAGTAACATCTGGTTAAAAGAGACGGAACTGAACTTACCATTCCAAAAGTTGTACAATTTTATGAAATCCATCTGCAGAAGAAAATAAAACATAAATATTCTACATTAGTCTATCGAAATTATGAATACTCTAAAAGTTGAGTAGTAAATTGTTTAAAGGCTGATTCTGCTATAAATAATAATACCTTCCAATTTTCTGTGATTACTTTCTTACTGAAGGCTTCATTTTCATAAGACAATTTAGCAGCCATAACTGATAGTGATGGAACATATCGGTTGTCCTCCATCTTTATGTTCTTGTCTAAGTTTAACCTCCAATCAATTTTTCCGATTATCGACGTGAACTTCTTCGATTTCATGTCTGGCTTCTCCGTTTTTCCTGTAATATCTCACAGTAATTTAAGACAACCTTTTCCTATATCGAGTACACAGTTTTTTGTAGCAAACCAAAGAGCAGTTACATATTTTCCAACCATAGAATCAAAACGCATAATTATCTCTTCCATGAATGAAGTATTAATTTACTGTGATATATATATTCAAGATATGATCGACCAAGAGCTTACAAATTTAAACAGATCAAATAGTGAATGAAAGATTAAAATTTAGAAGAAAAATCGTAAATGGAACCTTGAATTATGTTGAAGAAAAGCTGGAGAAGACCACCATTGCAAGAAGGATAGTTAGACCAGAGCTCAATTTTAGAACCAAAACTGTTCATTGGCTTTCTGAAACAAAGTAAAAATTTCTGCACAGCGACAGATGCAAAAATAATCCAACGACGGCGAAAACCTTTGATCCTGTCTGTGCCTGGAGCATCAAAAAAGTCCCTTTTCTCTAATTCACATGAACAGAATATACGAAAAAAATCACAAAAACTAGCTTCTTCTGGTTTCAACTCTATATAATCTTTACAGAATTCTTTGTTGCAAGCCATTGATATATGGATAGTTTCGGATGATATTTGTTCACAAAGTCAGAAGTCTGTATTCATATAGTAAGCTAAGGTCACACTGAACATGACATATTTATTTGTTGATAAACACGGCTTACCGAGATGCTCAATTATTAAGCTAATGATGATTCAATAAGTGATCATATTTTACTTATTAACAAGTAAAAAAAAAAAGTATCCATATGTTAATTTAATAATGAAAAATAAGATTATGTGAGTTGTCAAATATTTTATGTCATAAGCATATCTCAAGTACCCCGCTTTCCTTGTTCTTGGTCAGTTGGTTATTTTTTAAGTGTGTTCGGATCATTTTTAGGAAAATACTTTTCCTGAAAAGTCATTATTTTTAAAATGTTTTCAAAAAAATAGTATTTAGAATTTAAAATTATATTTGGATATTCACTTTACTTGAAAAAGTGTTGTAGGTTTGTGAGTGGGAAAAAAAAAATTCTGAAAATTTTAGAAAAGGTGTTTTGAAAAATTCATTTTCGAAAAATTTCAAAAAACTTACATAAAATTTCATGGGCAAATACATTTTTGAAGAAATATTTTTATGGACAATTAAATTTTAACTTCATGTTACTTCCTCCAACTAACTCTTAAACATTATAATTAATCTACAGTACTCAAAATTTGTTATTAAAACAATATCGATTTACTTTAATCTTAGATATATACTACTATATTTTTCAGAAAATATTTTTCACTCACCAATTAAATGGTAACAAATTTTCAAGAAAATACTTTCTATAAAGAATTACTTGTATAATGTTAAATGCACTTTAAGTAGCTTTGCGTATGATTGAAGTTTGATTAACCATATCTAGATCTCACATGGCACGAACTAGAGCCATTCATCTCCACAATCTTGTTTAGGAGTATTATTTGGATCTCTGTAGCAGAAAGATTTGGTAGAAAAAGACAAAAGAAGGCACATTATTGTAAACCAGCCTGTCTGTTACACTTTAATTTCGTTCTTTGACTATTCTTTTGCCATCTATTCCACGTGGTTTGATTCCATTGATTTTGTTCATATTCTTTTTCTTTGCATGAATCTCATTTATTTTAAAAAATTAAATATTTGATATGTATCTCGTGTTTGATTAATATTCATTTGTTTTTCGCTCGGCCACATTTTCGGAATTTCAAGATAGAATGTAAGGGTCCACCAAATTCTATGGAGAATCAAGTTCTCTATCAGGTTCAACAGAACACACAGTAAATAAATGACAAGAGAAATTTTATGTGGAAAATTTCCAGTTCAACGGGATTAAAAACCACGACCTATCCTTGTAGAATTTTAACTTTACTACTGAGCAAATTTTAGATTACAACCTATGTAACCTAGGAATTAACCTCTTAATTCCTCACTAACTTGTAATAACCTATTACAAGCCACTTTGTAATAACTCTATTACAAAGACTTTACAACTCAATTAACTCTAGCCTAGACTCAAACACAAGGGTTTAAGATTTATAAAGGGTTTCCTACATAATACTTCTAAACAAGCTAAATAGGAATTACACTTGAAGAACTATTACAAAGTAACAACTCAACTAAGGACATACAATAACTTGATATGGGAACTGGTCCGTAATCGTGTTGTTATTTGTTCTTGATGCACTTGAGAATTGCTTGCTGGATGATCAATCACGTGAAAGATCTTGAGTAAATTCTCTAAGTGTTCAAATGTTTTGTTTTACCTTCCTTGATGTTAATAATACATGTGTGACATTACTTACGATGATGTAAGCAAGGTAGGTAAAAGGTCTTTTCCATAAAGTTGACTGCTGCACTGTTCATGTACTGTAGCGTGTGCAGGCAGCAACTTTTCCAGCTGGAGGGTTGACTTCGTATAGTTACCTCGGGAGCTGGTTGTGACTTGTTCCCTCTGTTGTTCCTTTGACTCTAGCGAGTTGAACTGTGTCCCACCTGGAGACATATTGATCTTTTAAGGTCCTGAAGAAGTGTATCTGGTTCTTTACAATAAGCTTGTTAATCATCAAAACGTAATAGGGATACACATATAACCTATCAATCTCTTCCTTTTTGATGATGACAAACTTATAATTCAAGTTTCCCCTAAGAACCAACATTTTCTGTATTCTCCCTGAATCTGTTCCCCATCTCGTTCCCCCTGCCTTGAATTATTTTTTCCCCTTTTAGCATCATAAAAAGATTAGATCATTTTGTAAACAATAAAGAAGTCTAGCTTTAAGTTAACTCATGCCACTTATGTGCACACAATCATGACAAAAAATAGAGCAGAAAAGCAAGGTATAAACAACAAAAAAGGAAAAGTTTGCATTAACATAATTTGGATTTTTCAGCAGGAGCAGAGTTAATGTTAGGACCACCATCCACAATTTTGAACAAGAAGAAAAACACCGCAAACATTATCATAAAAATTGATACTTAGGGACTTGACCACAAACTAGATCATAGACTTGACACTAATGGGTCACTAATTAGGGAGCACTAGAAGTAGAAGGCTTGGAGGCAAAGGCAATGGTTTGGAGGACTAAATCCATTCGAGCAATCGCTGATATTTGCTCGTTGAGTAGTCTCGCTTTTAGGTCCTCCACTTGTTTCCTGAGCTCAGCATTCTCTTTTGTCAGACGAGCAACCTCTTCACTTTAAGAGCTACTGGAACCAGATGCCTCTTGCAGCTGAATTAACTGAGTCTCAAAGATAGCATTCCTTGATTTCAATTGCCTTATCTCAATAGTAGCACTTTTTTGAGTATTGATCAACTGAGATATGGTAAAAGTGCTTCCAACTCCTCCAACTTTCTCAATACACTCACATTCTTCAAGAGTAGCTTTGGAGAAGTTTGCTTCTTGGTGCCCAGTTTAGCTGGTCCTAGAGGAACCTTGAAGTGCTCAAATACCTTGGTGAGAAGAAACCCATACGGCAGCCCATGATTACCATCTTTAAAGTCTTCCACTATATTCATGTGTTGTATCATTATCCCGGCAGATTGATGGTAGTGAAGTTGTCCAGTGCTTCCATGAGGAACAAGTCTGCACGAGAGTGATAGATCTTCTCTCAGCTCGAGGCATCAATACTTTGTTCACCATCTCAAATAGCAGATGATATACATGAATGAGTGCCTTCTTCTGAATCCGTTCCCCCTGCTGAACTACTGTGTCCTTCAAGATTGCATTTTCGAAATTTTGAGAACAGGTTCCCCGAACATTTGACAGCTCTTCAGCAGGCACACCAAGAATAGACCCCAACAAAGCAGAGTCCATTACCATATCAACTCCATTCACCAACACACATATGTGATCATCCTCAACCTTGAATAAGTCGGCATAGAAACTTTGAACCTCCTCCTCATACACCTTTAGAGCATCATCTGTGAACAAATGTATCCATTGTTGAAACTCATAGATCTCAACCAACTGTCTCATACCAGCCTCCTCCAAGATACCAGGGGCAAATGTGCGGCCCCATAGCACCTTTTGGCTCCTCAATCTCGCTTTCCCGGCACTCCTTGGTTCACCAACTCTGGCCCTCTTTGAGGAACCGGGTTCTTCATCGATATCAACTCTTTTTTTGGCAGACTTTGTGAGCACGTGATTTTTGTTTTTACGCGACAATCGCTCCAAAAGAAATAAAAATAATAACAAATGGTCCCGCTGTACAACTTTGGATTTTACATGGCACTTTGTTAATTGTTTATGATTTTTGCCCATTTTTATTTTTTATTAAAACAAAATACAAAAATGTATGTGTCATGCGTAGTTGGAACCGTAATCCGGTTATTGAAAAGAAAAATCATAAATAGGCATCTTTGTCCGTGATTTTTTTGTTTTGTTTGATTTTACCTGCTTTAAATATTTTAATATACGTGTGCAAATAATTGTGTTAACTGTTTATTTAATTTTAATTTGATTTACCTAGGTTTTGTTTTTAAATAATAAAATAATAATAATAATAATAATAAAAAAATATATAAGAGATAAGTGCAGAATTAGTTTGAAAGTCAGTTTGGGCTGATTTTCGTTTTTAATTCAAAGCCCAAACAACCCAGCCCAAACAACCTGTGCTTGCCCCGGTCCGGACCAGCCTACTTCAAAAACGTCCAAACGACGTCGTAGTGGTTGAGTCTGATCTGAGCNCTGTTTATTTAATTTTAATTTGATTTACCTAGGTTTTGTTTTTAAATAATAAAATAATAATAATAATAATAATAAAAAAATATATAAGAGATAAGTGCAGAATTAGTTTGAAAGTCAGTTTGGGCTGATTTTCGTT